TTCGCGTTTCATCTGAAGAAAAATGCTGCTGAAGCCACTGAAATGATTTGTGCTGCATATGGAGAGAACGCTGTAAGTCATGCAACATGCAAAAGGTGGTATCAAAAGTTTCGCCAAGGAGATTTCAGTCTTAAAGATGAATCGCGTGCTGGACGCCCTGAAAAGATTGAAACGGACGAATTGCAAGCACTGCTGGATATAAACTCTGCGCAAACTGAAAAGGAGCTTGCAGAACAGCTTGGCGTTACGCAGCAAGCCATTTCCGTACGATTATAATAAATAAAGATTGAATTTTACAAAAAAAAAGCTCAGAACTTTTTTGTACACCTAATATATGTTATCCAGGGCGCATGAATAACATTCAAGAGGTTTTAGTCTTCGATCGGATATCTTGGGTAATACTAATAATAGCGATACTGCAACTCTCAATCCTTATAACTCGAAAAGTACTTAATGAAAATGAAGTTTTTTGTAAATTTTGAAAAGTTCTTGAGTTGAGCTACAAGAATATACAATAAAAAATAAGAGATTCCATTTATCGGTTACGTTGATCTAGTTTTGAGAAAGTCACTCAAAGTCCACATTTTTATCATACGTTCCCCCTTAACGACCTACAACTTTCGTGAAATATTTTTCCATATCATGATCGTTTCTGAGATATAAAGCGTGGGTCAGACTTTATAGACATCCTGTATAATCACATCACATTATACATAAATATGCAGCATTAAGAAATTAATTACTATTCGTAATACACACATGAATTATGCTTTGAAGAGAAAAAAGCAAGAGTAGACAGAGTATTTATATAATGTTAGCGGAACCACTTTAGTAGGAAATAATTATAATTAAGCGTGATGGAGGTGATTTGGATGAAGATAATTGCAAAGATAAAGTGTGTATATATACTTTACGTCGTAAGGTGATGAAAATAGAAATTACTTCTTTACATTGCCTACAAAAAGGAGAATCTTCATTGCGTTTCTTTATAATATCTTAAGCATACGTATTATCGCAATGTCAGACGCAAATGCTTCTATCCCATCTCGTTACATCGATCAGATATAAATCGATAGTTCACAACGCTTTATATTCCTAAACGTTAAAGACTGACAATATTTATGAAGTGAGTTTATCATGTAAGTACTTATCTTGTTGAACTGACTATACGTTAACTTACAATAAACAAGAGTACAAATATCAGTTTCTACGACATTTGCAGTCTCATTCAGTAACTAAATCTTGAATTGAAAAGAAGCTTTTATAATTGTTTCTTGTTGCAGGATTTATAACTGTACTATTTTCTACTTTATTGTAGAACAACACATTTAACAAAATTGATCTAAATTTAAATTATAAAAGATAAATTATATAATAAAAAAAAAGCTACTATATTTAAATCGAATGTCAAAAGTGCTAATAAGAAATTACGGTGTTGTACAATAGAAATATTTACGTAACGGTAAGTACCGAAAACTCATATTTTTAAGCATTATCTTATACCAAAAATTAAAATTAAAATTAATATTGTGCCATTATTTCTCATATTATTCAGTCTTCTGAAAATAAATAATTTTCAAGAGAATAATTTTGTCAAAAAATAATCATAATTTGATAATTTAAAAATATTTCAAAACTTGAAATCTTTATTTTTTAAATCAGTGTTTTAGATAATGATCTGACTGATCTTTTATGAAAGATCTATAAATATAAATAATATTATATAATAAAATTTGTTATATCTCAAAATTTTTTATAAATTTTACAAAATTTTATGACATGAATTAAAAGTCGCATCAAAACAGTTTACAATGTTAAGAAAAAGTGAATTTATATTATTGCGTGAGTTTGTGAGTGCTGTATGATTTTTTTCACTAAATTTTGTAGCTTTGACTGTTTGTAGAAGATAAACGGAGCGCTCACACACAGTATATTCTTAAAAATAGAAAGATCAAAGTTCTCTTTTTTTATAGTACATCTATCATATTAGGTGTAGTAAAAAGTCATCGCGTATTTTTTAGCTCAAAGTTGTATATACAATATCTCTTCGTCAATAATGAATAAAATTCAAATTAAAAAAAGGGTTTTAAAGCTTGAAATCTCTACTTTTAAAAGCTTATCACATTTTTTACGTTTATATGAGTTTGATAATTTTTATATATCAAAAACTGCGAGCTGAAAAAGACGAAAAATTTTCTTCTTATTTTGTGGATTTGTAACGTGTCCAAAACGAATTTGAGAAAATTTTCGATTACATATCGTGAAAGCTTGATACTTTCCCTACAAAATCGTTTTTTTTAAATATTCCTACGACTTTTGATTACTGAGTTATC